TGCTTCAGTAACCGCAATGGCAATCGCTACTTGATTGGGAATTGTTTGTTCTTTCTAAAAGTCTTCCTTGGTATTAAGTAGTATTGTCATCAATATTATCATCCAATTTCGGTATACTTAGCTCCTATTCGTTGAACAAGTCCAGAGTTTCTGACTGCTTCCTTCTCTTCTTGTCTTAGGTAAAATTTGTGAGAGAGTTAATATGGTGATGGGCTGTTATTATCATTGTCGTTACTTCTTGCTGTGCGATGTTTGATTTCTAAATCGTAATTTCCCTAATCAACAATCAACACGCAATTTTGACTAATACTCGAAAGATCTCTCGCACGAATTTATTGAAATCTCCAATGAATATTTTTCCGCCACTTTGAACTTGGGAGGTAACAATAAGCTCCTATTTCATATATAGACTTTCATCCATGAAATACTCTAAAACTGGAGCGCTGGTCAATTTGTTTTTCAGTTCCACGTAAGATGTGGTCACATTGGCGTCTGCGATTCCGTTTTATACCGCCTCGTTGTTTCTATATAGAAAAGTCTAAATAATTTGCTTTCATTCGCGAATTTTCTAGTCATTTGGCAATGTTGCAAGATTATGCGTTATTCCCCTAACTTGAGGGATTATAGTATCAATATGTCGTTTTAGAACGCTTTTTTCGTTGTTCGACACCTAAGGTGTTTTCTCGCATCTAAAATGTTTTGAAACATTTTTCAAAACTGGTTTAAAACAGTGTCACATGACGTCATAACTTCTTGGCGCGAGAAAATGGATGGAAACGTGGATTGGATTGTATTTCGAAACAGTTTGAATCAGTTTTAATGTGACGTCACGGGTTCATCGCGAAAATATACTGTTTCAAGTTTCAAACCTGTTTTGAACGAATTTCAAAAAAATGAGCACAGCTCTAATTTTCATCCTCGTCTATCGTCGCAATCTTCTGATGAGAAATTTCTTTCACTCATGGATTTTTGTATGGAGCTTCTGCCAAAGCTCGAGAGCCGATAATGATCAAAATTTCGAATGATCGTATGTTCCTGACATTGCAGAATTTCCTGATCATCGTCTACTTCCCAGTTTCTGTTCTGGGTGCCTACACATAGATATTTTTTTCCAGTGTTACCAGAGGTGGTACAATTGTACCAAGTTTGACCATTCGTTTTGAAAAAGTACGCTGGTACGACATTGGTATATTTGGTACAATTTTTATTTTTCAAAGAGTCTTAGCCTACTGCCTACTTACTTAGTCTAATGTCGATATTCTAATTAACTTGTATTTCTGTATCCAAAGTCGATATAACAATAATTTTTGATTCGTAAAAAGATGGCGTCACCAATGTAACACGTAACATTCGTTTTGTGGTTTTTGGTTGACGTAGTTTGTGTTTAGTTTAGGTTTTCGGCAGAAAATAAAGAAAACTCAAAGCCTCGTACTTTAAGTCGGTTTTCCTGATCGGAAAAGCGGAAAATCTAAAGAAAAACCATTGAGAAATGACATCCCAAAGCCTACTTGATGAAACTTTATAAGTTTTAGTTACTTACCCAGTTGAAAAACTCGAAATTTTTGATACAAAATGAAGGAAACTCAAAGCCTCGTACTTTAAATCGATTTTCCCGATAGAAAACAGCCTGGAAAAGTGGAAAATTCGAGGAAAAACTGGATAAAAATATAAACACGTCCAATGAAAATGGCCGACTGTCAAAAATGACAAATGATATTTATTACAAGGCCTCCTTGATTGAAGTTAGTCACAAGCGGTGTTGCCACATCAAAAGCATTTTAAATAGGATTTTGCTAATTATGGCATTTAAAAGTGGAAATTTTTGCTAAAAAATGAAGAAAACTCAAAGCCTCGTATGTTAAATCGCTTTTTTCCATTAAAAATCCCCGGAAAAGTCGAAAATTCGAGGAAAAACTGGCAAAAAATCACAAGGCGTCACTTCAAAATGGCCGACTAAAAGCAACATTGCCATATTACATCTCGGAAAACAAAAATAATATTTTAAATGGGTTTTTTGTTTAAAATTCAATTTAATAAATAATTATTAATGATTATAATAATTAAAATTCCCTAGATAAAGCATCGGAAACTTGTTTTTAAAGTCTGTTTTTTTTTTAAAGATAATTCCCTAAGTCAAAAATTTAGTAACTATGTGGGCAACACAAGCCTTTTCTACATAAAAAATTTGAAAGCATTGACAATTTTACATTGTATTGCCAACATTGATGTCATTTTGACTTTAATCTTTAAAAAAAAAACACACTTTAGTTTAATTTAAATAAAAATGACATTACAAGGTTTACTTGTTGATTATAGTGAGTAAGACAAAGACAACAATAAAGTAGTATATGTTTGCAAAAACCACCGTTTTCTGAAAAAAGTAAAAATCTTAAGAAAACCCAAGAGAAAACCAACATTCAAAAGTCAACTTAATAAAACCAAAGTTTTTGAATATTTCCGGCTCTTTGATTGGGCGCTGAAAATCGCATTTTTAATATTCCCAGTTTTTAATTGGCTCCAAATTATCCGCTGACCAATAGAATTATAAACTGGGGCCCATGATTAAAATGGACTCCGGCCCTTCGGGCTCGCATATAATTAACAGTTTTCCCGATCGAAACCGGCCTGGAAAAGTGGAAAATTCGAGGAGAAACTGGATAAAAACACTCGAAAATGGCCGACTGTCTTGAATGCCAAATGACATTACATTACAAGACCAACTTCAACAAAACAAAAGCGATGTTGCCATATTACAATCTCAAACATAATGTTTTTCCAGATTTTAGTGAGTAAAAAAATGAAAATAAGGTAGGATACATTAGTAAAAAACCAAAAGCGATTATAAATGAGTAAGACAAAGAGCAAGAAAAAGTAGGAAACAATTCAAATGATCAGTTGGCCGAGCCAAACTATCATCAGAGTAAATTTTCGATTGTTCCCGGTTCAAACACTTGGAATAATAGGCATGTTCGCACAGCAATCACAAACCAGTCAGAGCGAATTTCATTGGTCGAAAACAGTCAGAAAACTACATTCAACCAATGAAATTCGCTCTGACTGGTTTGGGTTTGTGATTGTTGTGCGAACAGGCCTAATTACTACTCAATTTGTTTTTTAAAAAACTGACAAGCCCAATGAACTATAGTCAAAAACTGGAATGTGCACACATTAACATATCTGCCAAAAAAATGTAGCCATGAAAGACAGATGCCACAAAGGGGAATGTTGTTTTTTTCTGTTGCTCGCTGACATATGACGTTTTGGAAAGTTTTGTCATATTTACCTTCACAGGTTTCATCAATTGGAATACGTGTTGGAAGCAATTTCCGCCATTTAACATAATGAGTGCGACAAAAACAGGTATCCCCTCCGCAGCAGCGGCACTAGGCTTCACGTTCGTCAATATGTGTTCGCATTCCAGTTTTTGGTTATAGTTCATTGGACAAGCCTCCATACAATATTATGATTTTTGACAATTGACTTAATTAACTTAATTTTCAAGACCACCTACGATTGTTAAGTCTTTTCCAGCGATACTCTTCACCCCCTCGCTCCTCATACGGAAAGTGTCAGATTGAAAACGACGAACAATACATACAACATCATTATTTGATTTGCTTATTATTGTTTCCTTCTTAAACTGATTAAAATTTTTCTAAACCAATAACCTTTATAACCATTCAAAGTTGTTATTGTAGGTATCGAGAATAAAAATCTTGCCTCGGGCAATCTCAAATTCAGGTTAAAAGTTCAAAAACACAATTTTGTATCTACTGTTGCTTTCGTCATTATAGAACCAAAACCGTGTTTTGTAATAACAATTTAATAGAAAAACTTTCCCGGTTGTATCAAATTGCATTACGTTACACCAGAAGAAAAAAAAACAAGTTTAAAAGTGAAAGTCTGTCTCGAAAAGATTTATTTAACTTATTTGTCAATCATTGTATAGGTAGGTATTCGATAGCCAGTTAACAATAGTGTGGTAAAATTCAGCAAATATTGGGACAAGGTTAATTTTACACGTTTTACCATCAGCCAGTTGTTAACTGTACGTAATTTAAAAGAACATTACTTAAAAATTCATAGTTCAAGGTGATAAAAACCAGTTAAATAATCGGAGTGGATATAGAAATGATATATATGCGTCAATGACTTAAAGTACAAAAATTCGATAGCGTCACTTTAAACCGTGATTATGATCACGTAAAACCTTCCAAAAATCCTCAACAGAGAGGCATGTGCCTGACAGATGCAGCTGTTCCATTATTAATGATCCCTTTTTTTTTGAGTGAGGGGTGTTTATCAGGACCCACCTAACTAAAAGCGTGCAACTTGTAAAATGCAGGTCCAAAAATTCTCAAAAGCATCACACACATGTTTTTCTGTGTAAAATTAATATCTCTGGAATATGTTACGGGTTTAGACAAGCAGATGGTAGTTTTTATGTGGCAGATGTGAATGTCAAGGTAAAATCATATGCAATTGCGAAAGGAGAAAATATGTACCTATTTGTTACATGGTTTCAGACTTCAGTAGGACATTGTCACGATGGATAATTGAGTTAAACCGTTTTAAATTGAACCTAATTACCAAATGAAGTATTAAAGGATACAACACACCAAACAATTTGGTTGGATAATGAGTTTTTAATGTTAGATGTTAAGAACGAGTAACTAGTCTTTTTAAACATGTATCAATCTAGATGGTCACCCAAATGATTTTGACTTGCCGAAAATAAATCTCCTAGACTATTAAAATACCTGCTTTTTCTGACAGATTGTCAAAAAATTTCATTTGACAAAGCCAGGTAATTATTTATAGTCCAGGAGATAATAGAGGTGTCCGGCTCGAAGGACCACTGAAATTTTGTGCAGACAATAGGGCGTCCATGGTTACCATCGACAATTCAAAAGGTGAATGTAAAAGCACAGCGAAGTGCTTTTATTATTGGTCCGGACTCCGCTGCATGGCTTCGAAAAATGAGTGGGGATTCACAAATGCGAGGGGACCGCACTCGACTCAGTAGCCGCTAAACCATACAGGCATCGCGAGAGAATCGACTATAATTCTTCTTGTAAAACAAATAATCATAGTGAGAGTTTTGAGTGATTTATTATGGATATTTGTCCTAAGTGATTAATTATTCAAGATGTATAAGCTACTGGGAGGATTAGCCAACTACCTCAAGTACCAGGACATTGTAACCGATTGTGCAGTGTTTCGTATGCACAATTTGTTTACAACTGCATTGTTGATGGCATGTAGTTTAATTATTACGGCTAATCAATATGTAGGCAATCCCATACAATGTATCGTCGATGGACTACCAACGCATATAGTGAACACTTATTGTTGGATTTCTTCTACATTCACTATGCCTGATGCTTTCAAGAGACAAGTAAGAATTTTTAATTGTTGATTAATTACTAGGTAATTAAAGAAATATGTCTGCTAATTGATAGTTAACAACACCATTTTATTGCCAATAAATGCGCGTGTGCTAAATCATTAATTTGAAACAAACAGCTGCACATGCCTATTGATTAATTGTTTATTATGATTTTGTCATTTACATACCGTATGACATTTGTCAATGAAGTTTTGCCATGTATTGTCAATTATTGCACATGCGCATTTGTTAATCTTAAGCCATATATTGCTTAATAATTACCGTAACTGTACAAGGTGTCCCATTTTGGTTGTACATAAAGGATAACTCGGTTGCGATTAGATTAGAGTTAGAAAGATGCGGTTTTCGTTGGTTACTTTTTTATCAAATGAAAGATGCCATCAACAGAATTGTCTTCACCTTTTTTGTTTTTCAGATGTAAGGTGTTTTTGGAAATGTTGCATTTTGGGACACTCCCTGTATCTTCGGTTCTCAAACACATTTTTCAAATGAGACACCCCGTATATTAATTTACAGTTAAAGTCTTTCCATAACACAATTGTTTCCCCGATTGTTTCTTTTTTTTATAACAAAAACACATATAATTTTTTTTCTCGAAAACTGTTAGAGATAAACCTGTTGATCTTGATATCATTGAAATCAGCAAAAGCAGGGCTCTCCAATGAGTTTATTAATATACAGAGTGTCTCATCTGAAAAAATGTACCAGGTGATTGTTTATCTCGTCTTATATTTTGCACCTAAGATTCTTGGCAGGGTTGGACGAACTTTTGGAAGTGGGCCGGGAAATTTTAGTCTAGCGGCCCATACAATTCATGTGGCACATCACCCCTAAATGTGATCTAATAATAGGTATTTAGGTTCATTTATCACCAACGCATCCAAATTTTCCATTGTAAGTCGATTCCTTGATCGCTTATTTGAGTGCTGAAAACTGAAAAGCATTTTTCGCACCCTCTACTTGTATGCACGTTGAAGTGAGGGCATACTGGTAGGCCCCAAAGATGACTCTTAAGCACGGATATGAAATCGGTATTTACTTATAGAAAACCAAACATTGTTGCAGCCTAAATGTGAAGAACATTTAAAAAGTTCTAATTAATTCCCTGTATCATCTCCATCGAGGTCATACAGCTCCGTCCTTTTCAAGTCACCTAGTTACCTTATTTTATTCAAAGCAGCGTCTGGCATTAATTCGGAAAAATTATTTGGATCCAAAAATGAAAAATCAGCACAAATAACTCTATATGCCTCAAAGGGAATGCCTCATCTATTTTTGTTATGATGTGATCCATATCCACATCATGTACTATTCCACCTCAAATCTAAAAATAGCAGTAGCTGGAGGAGTATCATCTCTGCTTTCTCCCTTGGCATTTTCTTTTTTTTTTTTTTTTTTTCACGAGGACGAATTGAGGGTAATAAGTCTTGAATTGTCACATCATTTTCATTTGCTTCCAGTCCTGTATCAGCCCAATTAAAACACATTTTAGCATTTTCTATTACTTCTTCCATGCCGCGTTGTTCCTTTTTCAGTGCATCATAAGTTGAATTGACCATTCTTTGTGCTTTCGGTCTGTTCTCAAAGAAATCACAAACCAGTCAGACTCAAAGCCAATTTCATTTGTTAAAAATAGTCACAAAACTGTTTGTTGGCGATTTGCACCAATCAAAAACGCTCTGACTGGTTTGTGATTTCTGTGAGAACAGACCTTATTGAGGCCATCTGTATGAAGGTATCTTGAAAAAGGTTCTGTTGCTTCAAAGATCGGCCCACACTTTGATCGGCCCACCGGGAATTTCCCGGTATCCCGGTGGGTTCATCCAACCCTGATTCTTGACACGCACACCTATCTCACCTGTTTGCAGAAATATATTCAGAAATGTCAAATGTGAAAGTTATAGGTATATCCTATTCACAATCCGTAGTCCAAAGGTAAAGGTAAATTTGTCACTTTTCCCTATCAAATACTACTGGAAGGTGATAAATTTTACCTTTTGACATCGGATTGTGAATAGATAATAATATCAGAAAGTTTTCAATGAAGTTAGTTACAATTATACAGGGCGTGTCATAAAAATGTGGCAAAGCAAATTTATGCTTTTTTAAATAAAACACCCCTTATATTATTGACCCATTGGATTAGCCTTTTAAACCTGATTCCAAATATACTAAGTCTTTTAGGTTTATTCCTTCATAGCCAGCCGCTGAAGATCCATTTCGAAAAAAGGGTGGATTTTTAACTTGAATGATTAATTTTATATTTGGCAGGGTGGTCCACCTGCCAAATATAAAATTAATCATTCAAGTTAAAAATCCATTTCTTCGAAATGGGATATTCAGAGGCTGGACTATGAGGAATATACCTAAAAAACCTAGTAGATTTGGAATCAGGTTTGAAAGGCTAATCCAATAGGTCAATAATATACAGGGTGCTCCATTTAAACAAGTATAACTTTGCTTCGCCACACTTTTGTCACATATCCTGTATACTTGTAACAAACTTCATTGCAAAGTTTCTGATATTACCTACAATTTTCACCTTTGACATTTCTGGATATCTTTTCAAATGTGACATAGGTGTGGGTGGAAAATATATAGACAATCAGCCGGTACGTTTAGTTTATGATAGGTCTGTTTCAACACGTCAAAAAACCGTCCGATGAGCGATTTGGAAACGTCTTATTAGACAAATTTCAGATTCTACACACAAATTTCAGATTTTGCGCAGAATCGTGACGGTACATTGTACGGTTTCCAGGTGTGTTGAAACAAGGCTAATTTGATAACTATCACCTCTAGATAAAAACTGATCAAGAAAGATCTACATATAACCAGTTGTCACCTTTTCCGTTACTTTAAGAGAACCAAAATACAAAGGGGTGTCACAAAATGCAACATTTTCAAAAACACCTTGTATCTGAAAAAACAAAAAGAGCAATGACAATTCTGGTGACGGTATCATTCGTGTGACAAAAAAGTAGCCAGCGTTTGTGAAAACCGCATCCTTCTAACTCCAATAACAACTGAGTTTGAGTGATCTCTCATGTACAACCAAAATTGGGACACCCTGTACTCAAAGTTCAATTTTCTATCCTCGGAAATTTGACAACACACTGATGTCAAACCGGTATGTCAAACTGAGGCCAGGCTTAACTCCTGAATCGTTTTTGCCTCATAAAATAAATTTTTAATAAAACATTTATAGAGGTTTCTTGAGGCGTCCTAGAGGGTCGTTAGTTTAGAATAGACACTTGTTACTATTAGACAAGTGTATCAAGCCAATTCTAAACGTACAAGTCTTCCTTATGGTCCGAGGAACGACTATATAAATTTGGCCGTTAGGACTGCTTCATCCAAATGGAAAGTTATCTAGTTTGGCTGTCGGTTAACCAATGATAATAATTATTAGTTAACCAATTGTTAAACTAGGCTATGGTCCGAATATAACCAAACGTTAACCAAAGTAACCAAATCGGTCGACAGATGGTTACTGAAAATACCGGTTATTTGGAGAACACGAATATGAAGTAAAAAATAATTGACAGAAATTACAGATAAATCCAACAGAACCGACATCCGATGGCTGGTAACTATTTTGATATTTGGTTAACCAGATTTCAGGAAACCAAAATCCAAAAGTAACCACTTTTTCATCTACCAGAGTAATTTTATTATTTTCGGACCGCAAAACCACATCCTTGGTTATATTCGGACCACAGCAGTATACAAATACTTAATAACTGTCAACTGATATACATAGAGGTCCTTAATCCTTTTAACTTGACAGTTACTGTTTTCTTGAATATGGGTAACCCAGATACAAAAGCGAAGTTTAATTTTTCTAATACGTGAATAAGCCTCAAGTTTAACAATTTGAGATGAGTTGTCATTGAAGGGGATAGTGACGAATTTACAAGGACAAAGAGATGTCAAAAAAAACTTGAGGCACCTCTATTATCTCCTGGACTAAAAATAATTACTTGCCTTTTTCAAATGAAGTTTTTTGACAATCTGTCAACTTTCAGGTCGAAAAAAGCAGGTATTTTAATAGTCTAGGAGATCATGCATCATCAAATTTGACGATTTTTCAACTTGTATATTTTGTAGTTGACCATTCTGAGATTATTTTTTCGACAATCGATCAGAAAGTCTTGGCAAATGTTATGATCATATAAGGTCTGTTTCAACACGTGAAAAACCGTCCCATTGTCCCATGACAAAAATCAGATTCTGCACAAAAACTTTTGTGTTTGCACAGAATCATAACGGTACAATGTACAGTGTGTCCCATTTTGGTTGTCCATAAGGAATAACTCGGTTGCTAGGTTGATATTGGAGTTAGAAGGATGCGGTTTCTGCAAAAGCTGGCTCCTTTTTTGTCAAACGGAAGATGGCGCCAACAGAATTGTCATTGCTCTTTTTGTTTTCCAGATACAAGGTGTTTTTGAAAAAGCTGCATTTTGGAACACCCCTTGTATCTCGGTTCTCTCATAAGTGATCGAAAAGGTGACAACAGTTTCTTATAGATATTTTTACCTAGCTTCCAGTGGCGTAGTCAGTTTTTCTCTAGAAGTGATATTTTTCAAATTATGAACCAAACATACGTTTTTTCGAATGAGACCCTATATATTATAAACTCATTGGATAGCTCTGCTTTTGCTGATTTCAATGATATTAAATTCGATAGGTATATCTCTAACAGTTTTGGAGCAAAACATTTTTTTCTGTTTTTGTCATAAGAAACAATGAGTTGGAAAGAGACCTTTCTCATTTTCCTTACAGATGCAAAGTCCTTTTCTGATACATTGCTTCTTATGACAAAAACAGACATGATCAGTGGCGCACCCAGAAAATATGTTTGGGGGGCCCTACATAGGATGTGGCTTGAATCTAAAAAAAAAAATTAGGTGTCGGGGTGCCGTGCCTTGATGTTGCTACATTCCATATACCTACGTAAAAATACAGTTATAGAGGGGTGGCTTGGC